TTCATGTTTCTCTTCCACAATCCGCCCGTAGGAGGACATGCCCGACCTGACGCAAGCGTGTCTGGAAGCCGGGGCGCCGCACTGGAGCAGCGGGTGGAAGAGAGCCGAGCCGCATGGAGAGTCTGCGGGGAGGGGGGGGCGCTCGGGCGGCCTCGGGCACCGGAGGCATGTGTCCGCCCAGGTGGTGAGCGACGGAGATAATCGCGGAGATGGTCGGGCAGTGAGCCACGCGTGTCTGGCAGCCCTCGTCAGACTTAAGTTTAAGAATGTCGCACGTGTGGCTGAACGATTTGTGGGGAGATATTGGACAGAGTAGCAGTGACTGCGAGGTACTTATATGCGCCGGCCCTCCAATGTCGGTCATCACCGAACTTCCGAGTCGTTCAGACCACCTTTGCCCTGGCCTCGATATATTGGAGGGGCGTCTATCGACATTGAAGGGCGCGCCGACATCGCAGGGGCGTGTTCGCCATTTCAGAGGTTATTTCTGACGAGGGTAGCAGATCACCCCCAGAGACAATCAGATAATCGCGCTTCGCGCGTCGAGGCTCGGGTTGGGGAGGCGCCCCTCCCCAGGGCGGCCTCGTCCGAGGGCCAGAAGGCAGCCGCGCGTCGCGGGGCGCGGTGCGCGACGTTGGGTGGCCTGCAGGTGCGGCAGGTTCGCGTCGTGTGGACGTGGCGGCGACCCCGCCGCGGGCGTTCAAGCTTGAACGCCGCCCGGAAACGGCCGACATGCAACGATCTGGCGATCGAGAAGCCACGGATCGTTCAAAGCTGAGCTCTGGGCCTCTGCGGTGTGGTCGGAGGATCGCGCCGCATCGCCGATGCATCGACGGTACGGCTCGATGTGGGGCCCGTGTTTCCCCACGCCGACGTCGCCGATGCATCGCCGACGCCGCCAGTGCATCGCCGATGCATCGGCGATACATCGCCGATGTTTCGGCGATATGCGGCGCGATCCTCCGACCCTATCTACTCCGACCCCATCTAGGAGGCCTCTATGAACGACCCACGCGGTGTCAGAAGCGAACTCGTTGGTCGTCACGAGACGAGTCCACCGTTGCGCTGGCGGCGCGCACACGGGGGCAGGGGTTATGATGTTCCAACCTACCTTTAGCCTTGACGACCACTATGAATTCCGAGCACCGAGAAAGTATCGAATCCGGAGGGTTTTCACGTGCCGGGCCCTGGAAGGCGATATCCGTACGGCACTTCGCCAGCGTGTCGGGCAGACACTGTTTCGATACTTCCCTGGGTGCTCGAAATTCTTTCTGGGATGTGGCCCTTCAGTACGATGGGAAGCACTTACGGTCGGGGGAGCGGGGAAGGTTTCTTGGACGGAGGCTCCTAAGAAGCCTTCCCCCCTCCCCACCCCGTGGTGTGCGCCGCCGGTTTCCACGTCTGTGCCCTCGCGGTTTGAACACCATGGCGCGACCCCACGGGCGCGCGCCCTATGCGCGGGGGGCGTCGGCGCAGAGCCAGCCCGCATTCCGCGATCCGTGGGGCCCGCGGCCGAGGATCGGCGGCGAGCGAGGGAGGGAAGCGAGAAGGGGAAGGCCTCCTCAAACGGCGGCGGGGCTTCTCGGGGTGCCCTCGCGCCTTCCGAGAAGTTTCTCCTGCGTCTTCGGGGAAGGCTGCGAAAACTCCTCACAGAAGGCCGGATTTCTTCTGAGCCTTCTGAGAAGGCCTCGTCCTCCTCCTCCTCCTCCTCGTACTCCCCCCCCCACCCATCGCTCGCCGACAAGAGGAGACTTCGGACCGCGAGGCCCGCGGACGGACGGGCCCAGGTGTGGGCCCGTGGACGGCCGAGGTTGCCTCATGCTCGGGAGCTGTAGCATACCCATCGGTCGTTGAAAGTAGGTGTTTTGGGGATTCCCCGTTTTGGGGGATTTTCGTGTCCCTCTGCAGGAGGAATATTCAAAAATAGTAACTAAAATAGTCTGGGAACGATGTTTGAACTACTTTTGAATATTTGTTCGAGTATTGTTTATGTTTTGCCCAAAATCCGCCTGTAGGAGGACATGCCCGACTTAATCCCAGAACCCAATCTTCGGGACGATCGAAATGGGTACGGAAAGAACGGGTACGATGCCCAACAGCAGTCCCTGTTCCTTTTGAGCAGGACTCGCTGTCCGCACCGCCGCTGACGGTGTCCATTTTAGACAAAAGGCCGCCTGCCCAACAGCGGCCACTGTTGGTTTTAGACAACGTTTGTCGTTGGGTATTGTATTCATTTTTCCCGTACCAATCTCGGGCGTCCAAAAATATATTTCAAGTGCCTTCGTATTTCAATAACCGTCAGTTATGCTTTTGCTGCGTTTTGTTACTCGTCTCGGCGGGCCCGAACCCGATCTACTTTCTCCGCCTTCCTGCTTCATGTTTCTACGTACTTCTTCCGACCGATGGGTATAGATTGCCAGTGGCGCGCTATCTTTCAATCCCAGGACTTTTTGAGGGTCGGGGACGACGTCGGGGTGGTGTGGTGTATATTCCCTTCCACGTCTCCCTGGGGAGACAGCGAAAAATGTATAAACCAGGATCCCGTGTACACCAGGATCCGCTCTCCTGTGCGAGTTTCGGTGCGGGGCCGGGAAAAGCGTCGGTGTGTAGAGCTCGGCTCCTTGCATACTGCTACCCTCCGACATTTTCTCTTCCGGGGGCCTCCTGGGAGCCCCTCGTCGCCACCGCTGGATTCGCCTCGAAGTTCTGGTCAGAACGCACCTCGGCAGAGGTCCAGGAAGTAGCAGCATCAGTACCTTTTGGTTTCCCCAGCTTGGTGGTTCTTGGGCGACTGTCCGCAGAGGTGGTACGGTTCGTTCTTTGGTGGTTCTTGAATACGACAGAGACGTTTTGTTCTCCCATGTTCGTTTTGCAGTTTTGTTCTCTCTGGCTTCGGCGCCTTTTTTCTTGTTCTGGGCCCGTCGTTGTTGCTTTCCAGTTCCAGCTCCGGCTTCAACCCCAGAGCCGTCTTTTCTTCGTTCGGCGGATCGTTTGTCTTACCGCTCTCATTCTCAAGATCAAGATTTTTGGACATTCGGCGGCGCGCAGAGGGTATCGCTTAACAGGTCCCCATCCCCATCCCCTATCCCCATCCCCGTCCAGACCCCTAGCATCCTTGCACCCCAGTTGGGGACACACATCTCGAGACCCGAAGGGAACGGCCTATATCCCCATCTGGGGGTTCGATGGGATAGGGGTCGGTTGCACGATGCCCAGAGGGGGGGGAGGGGGAGGGGGAAGACTTCTCTTAGAATGAGGCTGCCTCCTGGCAGGCATGGTGGCAGGAGGGAAGGCCGCCGCCAGCTCGAGCCGAGTGGCAGGGGGAGGAGGAGGAGGAGGAGGAGGAGGAGGAGGAGGAATGAGAGGAGGTCAGGAGGAGAGGAGGAGGGTGGAGAGGGTGGAGTTCATGGTAGGATGGAAGGAGGAGGGTTCTAGGAGGATGAAGGCGGCTCAGGAGAGGAGAAGGTTCATGAGGAGGAGGCCGAGGCGGAAGCGGAGGCGGAGGCGGAGAAGGAGAAGGAGAAGGAGGAGCAGGAAGAAGAAGAGGACGAAGAAGAGGAATCATAAGAGGAATAATAATAAGAATATGAAGAATAATAAGAAGACGAATTTTGAAGACGAATAAGAATATTAATAATAATAATAACAATAATAATACTAATACTAATATTAATAATACTGATATTACTAATAATAATAATAATAGTCCTAATAATAATAATAACCATAATAGTAATAATAGTAATAATACTAATAATAATTCTGATAATAATAATACTACTAATAATAATAACAATGATAATAATGATGATAATAATAATAATAATATTAATAATAAGGAGGAGGAGGAGGAGGAGGAGCAGAAGGAGCAGGAGCAGGAGCAGGAGCAGGAGCAGGAGCAGGAGCAGGAGCAGGAGGAGGAGGAGGACGACGACGAAGAGGAAGACAAAGAAGAAGAAGGAGGAGGAGGAGGAGCAGGAGCAGGAGCAGGAGGAGGAGGAGGAGGAGGAGGAGGAGGAGGAGGAGAGGACGCTACGATCAGATTGTTCAAGAGGCTTACGCTGTTCCGCCGACCCCACGAGGAAGAACGAAGTCCACGGGTGAGCGCCCCTTGGGGACCGTTTGAGGGCCTTTTGGGGGCCTCTTTTGGGGGCCGCTTCGGGCCTTCTTGGGCGCCTGCTGGCGGTCCCGGGGGTGCTCCTGGGGCGGAGGGCTCGAAATGTCAGTTCTAGTTCACTGCCTCTCATGGGACACTATTGATGCCCTCTTGGGCCATCTTGGGCGACTCTTGCGCCGTCTTGGGGCCCTCGTGGGCCGTGTTGCTGCGATCAGGCTATCATAGGACGTGCAGCGTGACAAAGAAAAAATGAGCGGACGACGACGACCACCACCACCACCACCACCACCACCACCACCACCACCACCACCACCACCACGACCACGACCACGACCACGACGACAACGCCGCCGCCGCCGCACGGGGACTTGGAAGTTGTTGTGTTGTGGTCTTTTCCCCAAACCGTACTGTCGTGTGAAGCTCGAGTCGGTGGATGCAGCCGTTTGGTCGATGGAGAGCAGCGCTTAGCCCTTCGATCCATCCCGCCACAGTGCCTGCCTGGGCTGTGGGTCAGAGACCTCTGGGATGCACGTGAGGGTATCCGGGGATGCTGTACGGGCCCCTCCTGGGAGCCTGTGCGCAGGATTTCTGCGCAACCTGGTCGAGGCCACAGCGGCGCCGCTTCCCCGCGTGTCTGGGGCTGCCCCTCGGGCCCTCCGGAGCCTGACCCCGGGGCCTTAAGAGCTCCCCGCGAACCTCGCGCGACCCTCCCAGAAAAGCTTCTCCCTCTCTGGAGCTCCGAAGCACACTCCCCGGGCGGGCCGCCCGCGCCGCTCCTGCGCCGTGCCCGCAGGCCGGCGCTCCCCCGGAGGGCGCGTCGGGGCGGAGCTCCGCCTCGCGCCCCGTGGGTGCGGTCCGGCCCGCTCCTCGCTCTCTCCGGCCCCTCGGGCTCGAGGCGTTTCCCGAGGCCCAGCGCACCCGCCGCCACAGCACACCCGTACCGCTCTGTCCCTGGAGCGATGCTGTGTCAGAAGGGGCAGTGCCCAGAGCTCGTCGGCCCGAAGATCGAGACGACCCTTGGACGCCTGGCAGGCCGCCACCCGGGGGGGGGGCTCCAACGGGAACGGCGGCCGCGCCTTCGAGGATCGAAGGGGCTGCCACCTCCTCCTCAGCTGATGAGTTGGAGGGGGGAAGAAGGAGGAGGAGGAGGAGGAATAGCAAGAAGAAGAAGGAGGAGGAGGAGCAGGAGGAGGAGGAGGAGGGGGACCCCCTCCCCCTCCTACTTGTGGTGGTGGTGGCGGTGGAAGACGGGCCCACCCTCGGCGGAGGGCGGCAGGCCGGCGGAGGGCGGCGGAAGCACCAAGGCGGGCGCGCCTTCCCTTCCGCGGGAGGCCGGCGGGAGGCCCGCGGGTGCCCGCGGGGGCAGGCTTCTCTGGGCCTGCCAGACGGGGTCGGAGCAGGCGGGGTCGGAGGATCGCGCCGCATCGTCGCCTCCTCCTCCTCCTCCTCCTCCCCCTCCTCCTCCTCCTCCTCCTCCTCCTCCTTCTCCTCCTCCTCCTCCCCTCCTCTCCTCCTCCTCCTCCTCTCTCCTCCTCTCTCTCTCTCTCTCGGTCTCCCACTCTTTCTCTAGGCCTCCCAGATGGGGTCCGAGTAGATGGGGTCGGAGGATCGCGCCGCATTGTCGATGCATCGACAATGCGGCTCGATGTTCCGCACGAGCGACATGGGTACGGAAAGAATGGGTACAAGGCCCAACATCAGTTCCTGTTCATTTTGAACCGGGCTCGCTGTCCGCGCTGCCGCGGCCTGTGTCCATTTGAGACAGAAGGCCGCCTGCCCAACAGTGGCCGCTGTTGGTTTGGGACAACATTTGTTGTCGGGCATCGTGTCCATCGTTTCCGTACCCATTTCGGGCGTCCAAAGGTGTGGAGAACGTGTTTCCCCACGCCGACGTCGCCGATGCATCGGCGACGTCGCTGACGCATCGCCTACGCATTGCCGGTGCATCGGCGATGCACTGGCTATGCGACGCGAACCTTCGACCCTGTCAGCTCGGACCCCATCTGGGAGGCCTCCAGAGGCGCCCGGCCTCCCAGGAGACGGCAAGGTGTTTTTTACTTCAGGATTTTCGGATCCCGTTTTTTCTCGCCGATTTCCAAGGGTGCGATGTTGCCGGCGGTTTCGAAGAAAACGCCCAGGTGCAACGATTGAGAGATGGCGCGAGAGTGCCCCCCGCGCCCCCAATTTAAAAAGACACATAAGGAGCAGGCAGCAAATTTGCAAATGTGGGCGTTTTTTTACGAAACGACTCGCACTCCCCCGCGTGGACCCCCCCGAACTTTGCATTTGGGGCCGGGGGGTGGGACGGGACCCGCTTCAACACGCATTAGTCTACAGTAGGCCTCCTAGATGGGGTCGGAATAGACCTGGCCGGAGGATCGCGCGGCATCGCCGATGCATCGACGATGCGGCTCGATGCGGAGCCCGACTTGCTTCCCGTCGACGTTGCCGACGCACCGCCGACATCGACGATGCGTCGCCTGTGCATCGCCGATGCATCGCCGACGCTTCGCCGATGTATCGGCGATGCGGCGCGATCCTCCGACCCCATCTACTCCGACCCCTCTACGAGACCTCTACTCAGAGATGGGGATTTTTTTTCCGAAAACCACGGTCGCGCCGGGGTGTGCGTTGCGGACGGCGTCGGGCGGGGCCCGGATGGGGCACCACGTGGCCCTCCCAACGGGCCTCGTCGGGGTCCGGCGGAGCCACCTCCTCGCCGAGGCCCTCGCCCGCCCCCCGGGGGTTGCGGGTCGCAACAGCCGCACCCTCTGCACACCACACCCCGAGGGGCCGATTTTCCACCACCGCCATACCATAGGTGCGAGAGGGAGGAGGAGGAGGAGGAGGAGGAGGAGGAGGACCTCCCCATCCTCCCTTCTCCCCCGTCCTGCCTGTGGCAGCGGTGGTGGTGGGAGATCGGCCCATCACGCCCCGTCGGAGCCGCCGAACCTCCCAGGCGGCCAGCAGCCCGAGGCCCCACGGCCGCCCGCCTCGCCGGTCAGCCAGCCCGGCGCCCGTGCGCGCGGGGCCTGCTCCACCACGGGATCGTCGCGGGCAGCCTGGACGACGCCACCCATCGGCGGCGGGCGGGGGGGGGGAGGAGAGCAGAAGAACCCCGGAGATCCTGGCGTTGCAATTTTTCCCCAACGGACGTGTTCGCTCGATTTCGGGCCCTAGGAGCCTCAGAGGTCGATCTGGCTGGAAAAATGACGCAGAAAGATGGGGTCCTGGCGTGATGTTTTGCGTTGTTGCATTTGTTTTGCAACGTCGGATCTCAGGGCAGGCCTTCTCAGAAGGCTCGGAAGTCCCCCGGCCTTCCGAGAAGTGTTCGAGGTTCCCCGAAGACCAGCAACAATTTTTCAGGAGGCGCGAGGGCTTCTGAGAAGTCCCGCCGCCTTCTGAGAAGACCTTCTCCTCCTCACTTCCCCCCCTCGCTCGCCGCCGAACCCAGCACGCCGCGCACGTCGACCACGCCGCCGCCTCCGAGGCACCCGAACGACGAGGTGCCCCCGTTGCTGCTGGCCCTGGAGCAGAACTGCCTGAAGCAGGCACGCTTCGCCCTCGAGGTGGACCCGGGCGCGGCCAAGCTGCCGTTCCTGCAGCCCCGCTTTGAGTGGCCGCCCTGCGCCGCGATCCGCCTCGGGTGCAGCGGCGACGTTGTCAGGCTGCTGTTCGAGCACGGTGCGGAGGTCGAGGTGACGAACACTCAGGGACAGTCCCCGCTCCAGCTTCTCAGCTCAGGAGCGGAGCGTCACGGCATCCAGATTCCTCGGGTCGACTTGTGGGGAACTCCTGGTCTCGCGGAGTGGGCAGAGTGGATGCTCGGGTCCACCGAGCAGTACGAGCTGGACGTGGCCACGGCGCTGCTGATCGCAGGCGCGGGTCCGGCGACGTGCCGCGGCGACCCTGCCAGAGGATACTGCTCGAGTCTGGAGTTGGCCCGGCGCGCTGGGAAAGGTCATTTAGTCGGCTTGTACGAGGCCGGGACCACGTGCTCACGGCCTGACGCAGTTGGAGACCCATCTCGGGGGTCGGCTTGCGCAAAGCCTTTCGGGCCGACAGGACCGGGCTTCCCTTGAGCGAATCACTGCACGCACCCAGCCGAGGCCAGAGCGCTTCCGGGAGCCGACGGGGGCGCGCGAATCGCCGGAGTCGGAGGTCGAGGAGGGAGCAAGAGAGAGGAGGGGGGACGACGCCGACGACGACGACGACGACGACGACGACGACGACGACGACGACAACGAATCAGTGCGCTGCCGCGCGTGGTGTCCGATTTTGAGACAGGTGAGAGTTTCTTTATATTGCTTGTCGGATTTTTGGAGCTTGTGCGGTCTCGAATCCACGTGATTCACTTGTGCAGCTTTTGTCCCATGCGTCTTTCAGACGCCCAGAAGCGTGATGCATGGGATGAGATTTGCGCCCCTGCTTCCCCCTGGCCCAGCTCCTGGCAAATCTAGGCCAGGCAGACAGGGCAGGAACGGGAGGCGTGCGCGGGAGGGAGGGAGACCCCCCTGCGCGCGGCCCGATCTCGCCAACCCGATGTTCCAGGCGCGCCGCGCGCCTCAGCGCCGCCGCGCGTTTGCAGCCAAGACGGCGTTTGCTCCGTAGCCTCTGGCTCAAGGCCGTCTCTGGGCCTCGGCCCCTCGGCCGGGTCTCCCAGCTCAAGGGGACTTCCCCTAGGAGTTTTCTGGCCGCGCGCTCCCCCCCCCAGGCGGCCATAGCAGACTCCCTGGATTCCTCTTCGTCGGCTTCACGCAGCAGCTCGGCCCAGGTCGGGCTTAGCATGGATGGGAGACCGATCGACGACGGTCCTGACTTCCCTGGGGCGACGACGACCGTGACGCCAGTGGACGACCGCGTGGCCAACGGACTGGCAGACGCAAGGCATCCTCACCCTGGATCACAGGACACCATTCCGCCAGGGCAGCCGTCGCCCCTCGCCCCCTGGGACGTGAGCGCGTCTGTCGACGTTGCGTGCACACGAGAACCGATGGCCTTCAGCCAAACGGGAAGACGGGGAGACACGTTCAACCCCGCGTTACACACTGACATAGCGACCTTCAGTCGCTTCCCCGGGATTGACAACGACAGGCGTGACGCCCTCCCACCTAGTTTATCCCCCTCCCTCACCCCTACCCTTCCCATGCCCATTGCTGGGCGCCCAATATCCTTCTCTCCTGGCGGTGCAGGGCAGAGCTGGATCGCTCACGGCGATTCCAGGATCACGGGGGGCGAGGGCCCATTCCAGAGCAAGTGACTCCCCCGACGGACCCAGGTTCGCGCGGGTCCCGAGCGGACGATCGGCAGAGACATGCCCCTGACGATCGACCCAGGTGCCTCAACGACGAAGACGGGGGGGCTAGGGTGGGGGGCCCCAGAGGATGACCGCGGGTGTGACAGGAGGGGTGACGTGCACACGCCTGCCCTCGGACCCGACTCGCATCACAGAGGCTTGCGCCTTCGCTCCGCCGAGCGCCCCCCCCCCCTTGATACTCCCATTCTGAGAGAGGCTGCCTTCAGCCGCGAAGGGGCCAACCCTACCACCTCGGGGGCCCATGCCCACGCTGCGCAGCCGACTTCCCCCGCGGACGTTGACAGAGGGCTCGATGGCTATCGCCACACCCCCGCCGCCCTCCGCGGATGCAGCAGAATGGACATAGAAGACGGGCCTTCAGCCCTTCGAGCGACCTGTGAGATAGCAGATCACACGGAACGAGCCTTCAGCTCGAGGCTCCAAGGCACATCGAGCAACCTCAGAGGCGACGAGCCTTCAGCTCGAGGAACGGAGACGGCACCAGCGGTCGTCGGGAGTGCCGCTGAGCAGGTGGCCATAAGCGGCGGCGCGAGGCGCCGCGCGCCCGCCGCCCTTCTTGGAGTTGACAGCACTGCGCACGTTGAGAATGGGCCTTCAGCCCGAGGAGCTCCCAGTGAGGCAGCAGAGAGGGATCCTGCAGCTTGGGGCGCCCCAAGCGGACTGTGCTGCACCGACCGCGACGCTACGACCATTCAACTCCCTGGGCACTCTCGTAACCCCGAAGACTTTCGTCAGCCACCCGCCCCCAGTTGGACAGTCGCGGACGTAACGAGCCTTCAGCTCGAGACTCTCATACGGAACGAGCCTTCAGCTCGAGGGTCCAAGGCGCCTTGGTTGACCACAGAAGTGACGAGCCTTCAGCTCGAGATCCAGATGCAGTGCCAATGGACCTAGAGGGTGGCGCATTCGTGACCACGAACGTTGACGACGGCGGCGACGCGAGTCGCCGCGCGCCCGCCGCCCTTCCTGGGGTTGACAGCATTGCGCACGTAGAAAATGGGCCTTCAGCCCGAGGAGCTCCCAGTGAGACAGCAGCTTCGAGCGATCCTGCAGCTTGTGACGCTCCAAGCGGACTGTTAGGCACCGACGGCGGCGCTACGACCAGTCAACTCCCTGGGCCCTCCTGGAATACCGAAGACTTTCGCCAGGCACCCGCCCCCCAGTCGGACGGTAACGGACATGACGAGCCTGCAGCTCGAGATTCTCACATGTAACGAGCCTTCAGCTCGAGGGTCCAAGGCGCATCGGTTAACCAGAGAAGTGACGAGCCTTCAGCTCGAGATCCAGAGACAGCGCCAATGGACTTAGAGAGAGGCGCAGAGGCCGTGACCACGATCGGAGACGACGTCGACCCTCCTGGGACTCCTGGTGTTCCCGTGTTCCCCCCCCCCCCCAGCAGGGGGGCCCTCGCGCCAGCTGCGGGCGACCGACCGACCGCCGCGCCGACCCCGACGGCAACGGGACCAGCCCTGCCACGGGACCACCCCTGGGAAGGCGCACCGAAGGCCGTGCGGCAGGCGCAGACAGCAGTCCCAACAGGTCCAACGGCTTCCGCCTTGACTCCGCCGCTCCCCTCCCTGGAGACACGGGCGCGGACGCCAGAGCTTCGCCCAGCCTCCGCGCCCATAACCTCACAGAAGAAACTGGCCTTCAGCCAGGAGGAAGAGAGCGAGAGACGGGTGGGCCTGGCAGCAATGGCCGCAGAGAGGCACGCCATCCCGCTGAGACGACCGACCGTATCCGACCTTCCCTGGGAACGACGACGGGGCTGTCCATGGGACGGCCGCGCGCGCTCAATGCCAACCGTGTCTCTGCTGATCCAGCCGTCGGGGCAGGTTCCCTGTTCGATTGGATCGATCGCATCGGACCTCTGATCGCTGCCGCGGAATGGCCTCGCGCCAACCTCACAGAAGAGACTGGCCTTCAGCCAGGAGGAAGAGAGCGAGAGATGAGTGGGCCTGGGAGCAGTGGCCACAGAGAGGCACGCGCCCTTCCGCTGAGACGACCGACCCCAACCGACCTTCCCTGGGAACGACGACGGGGTTGTCCATAGGACGGCCTCACGCACCCAACGCCTACGGGGTCTCTGCTGATCCCGACGTCGGGACAGGCTCCTTGGTCGATCGGATCGATTACATCGGACCTCCGATCGTTGCCGCGGGATCGCCTCGCGCCTTCTTGCCCTCGCCCCCCTGCTCCTCTCCCACTTTTCCCCCTCCCGACCCACCCCCTGGGCTGCCCGACCCGTCCTCCTACCCCCCTCCCGACCTTGCCCTGGAGGAAGAACTGCGGAGGGGAAACCAGAGCGCCCCCTTGGAAGCTGAGGACCCCAGTCAAGCCCAGAGAGACAGAGGGCACTACGCTGCCGGCCCCCACGCTCGATGGCTGGACGCCACAGGACACGCAAACGCTGACTGGGCAGCCAGTCGGGAGGCGGACGGACCCATGCGCGGCCCGCGCGTGGCGGACGCTAGGGTCACTGGCAGGGGGGGCACAATGAACGCCCTCCGCCGTCGCCTAGCGCGCATCGACGGCCCCTGGCGCGAGTTCCCCGACCGAGGGGCACCGAGGACCCCGCGCGAGACCAGTAACCTGGAGCTCCTCACGCACCATGCGTGGAGGGGGCATCGCCCAGGTCACCCGGGCATACGAGCAGGCAGCCCCATGCGTGCGGCTCCAGCAGAAGCGCCCCTCCCTGGACTTGTTTCGCAGCGAGCCACCTCGGCCCCGACCCTCGCCATCCTGGACCTCTCCTGGCTCGTTTGGTCCGTCACGGGAGGCGACTACGAAGGGCGCCTTGGGGGTGTGCAACCAGACCCGATACAGGTCCTCGCCTTTCGCTTTGCGAGCATCACCCATGACCCCAGTATAAGAAGGGAAAGATTGGACGCCGATAATCCCTCCGTGGCCGAAAGGCAACTAGCGCGTCTCGAATATGTGGCCATGGTTACTGCAGCGCACTACTGCGACATAGGCATGGAGCTCCCGAGTGGATTCGACACAGACAGGATGCTCACGCCCACTAAACTCCCAACGACGCAGTGCCCCCGCACAGTAGCGGCCCCAACCGACCAGACGGGACCCAGGACCCCATGGATGACGAAATCAGGGAGTATGCGCATAGAGTCATAATCCATGAGCGCAGACAGAACATAGTGCACTTTCCGGACCATGGGGACATCAGGCAGTGGGCCATCGTGAGGGGGAATCTTGGACGGGTTGGGGATGACGTACACCCGAGACGACAAGCAGGTAGAGGCCCAGTACCATGGGTAGAGCCCGCCCTCACAGGAGTAACTGCCAGCTCAATGGGCATCCCTGGGGTACCGATTCAAGGGGGCGACAGTAGCGACAACGCATGGCCCTGGTCCACCACAGCGCATCGACTACTGTTGCGGGACTGATTCTGCCCGACCCAACGATGCGACTTTTGCGGTTCCTGGATGTTCCGAGACCCCACTGGACGATGCTGCATAACATGCCACAGGTTGGCTAACCCATGGAGCTACGACCAGGGTGAGCGGCCATCAGGCACCCCCCCGCAGGGCCAACAAGATGCAGGCCCGGAACAGCCATTCAACAGGCACGCGCTCGACCTTCTGGACACCACCTTGCTGTTGCAGCTTGTCAGAGCGGGCATGCGGTACGCCCCAGTCGCAGAGCACCTCTACTCCCCAACCCAACCTGGCCCCTCCGACTTCACCCCGACCTGGCTCGTGGGCGAACTCCTGGGAGCCTGGAGACATATGGTGGCCCAAGCCTCAGGTCTGGCTGAAATCTGGGCGTACGAAGGCACAATAGCCCTCGAAGACTTTGGAGGCGATTGGCAACTTCGCGCAGCAACGGTCTCCCTCGCCTTACTCTGCTCCGCGCCAGACTCCTGGGTCCTTAACGTCTGCCAGAAAATACGTCGCGTTCTCAGGACCTGCCCAGAAGGACGACTAGATGGCTGGTTCCCTCCGCATCTCTATCACGTCGACCCGAGCACGTACCCACCATCGCACTGGAGGGCCCCCCCACCGAGTAGGACAACCGCGACAGTCGCGATAGGGCCGAACACCGTGATACGCCTGGACGACCTCCGCTGGCTGAGTGCCACCATTGGCGGGGACCACCTGGACCGCGCCATAAGCGACGCACGAGACGGCATGGTCCTCAGCAGACGTTGGTAGCACAACAGGGACAGTCCACATTCCCAGGCAGCCGAGGTTATGAGAGGTGCGCTACAGGCTGCAGCACGCACTGACTGGCGCCCAATACATGCCCAAATAGGGCAAGGTACCCCCCTGGGAAACCTCGTTACAGACGCCGTTATCCGGCGCCTGGAGGCAGACGGTGGTGCCCGTGACCACGAGCGTGCTGGGCGCCCCAGCGGGGGACACTCCCCCATGGACGTAGACAATCCCTGGCGCGACAGGAGGGGCCCCACTGGCAGAGAGGGGGGCGGAGCG